TAATTACACCTATATCCCCAAGGTTGTTGTGAGGATCAAATGAGATAATATCTGTTATGCCCTTAACACAGTTCCTGGTACATAGTAAGTGCTATATAAATGCTATCTATAATAATAATAATAATAACTATTACTATTATTATTATTATTACTTGAGGCCACTCAGCTTATGTCAGAGGCAGGATTTGAACCTGTCTCCTCTCTATTCACTTGTTTCTCATGATTAAATAATTCTGACGATAAAGATATACAGTCACAGTGGCACTTACTTCCAAAATTTATAACTAGTTTTGGAAAAAAGGTGAAAATAGATACTCTGTTAAGCTGGGAGTTCCTTGAGAGCAGCAATAGTTGGGTTTTTGTTTTTTGGGGATTTTTTTGCCTTTCTTTGTATCCTCAGCACTTAGCACAATGCCTGGCACATAGAAGGTGCTTAGTAGATGCTAGTTGACTGACTGATTAATTGACTTTGGAGTAATTTACAAGTGTTACTCCCCATAAGGAAAGGCAGCACTGGGAATAACAGAGAGAGACCCAGCCTTGGAGTCGAGAAGAGCTAGATTCAAGTCCTGCTTGGGACTCTCACGAGCTCTGAGAGCCTGGGCAAATCACTGACCTGCCATTGCTTTTCCAGTACAGAACAGCTGGGCTTTGAATCAGAGAACCTAGGTTCAAAGCCCCATTCTGTCCCTTCATAGCTCTATGATGTTAGGGAAGCTCTTTAGCCAGACTCAGTTTCCCCATCCACGAAGGGAAAGGGTTAGACTCTGATTTCTGATGTCCCTTTTAACTCTGCCTCATCCTATAATCCCTATGTAACCTAGAGAAGAGCCTTCCATCTCTCCTGGCCTCAGCTGACTCACACATAAAATGAGGGGGTTCAACTGGACCCTTCCAACTCCTTTATAAAACCATGACACAAAGGAAATTTCCGTCATTGCTTAGAGGCTGGACAGCTTTCTCTAAAGGGAAAGGATAGAGAATTTGAAGGGTGATGCTCAGGCAGATTACACGCAGCTTAGGTCAGAGTGGGATTTGAACCCAGGACCTCCTTTCACGATTTGAACCCAGGATAATAATAGACAGCATTTTGTAGTACTTTACGGTTTGCAAAGTGCTTTGTATCTATTCTCTTGTTTGACCTGTCCTTTTTCCTGAGCTCTTACTGTGCTATTTATCTTTTGACCAAGTCTTAGTATTAATAGTAGTTCGCACTTCTAAAGTCCTTTGTAAGCCCTGTGAAGGACTCACTCTTCCAGCGAAATTAAAATATTGATTAGAGAGACAAGAGGGGCAGCTAGGTGGCGCAGTGGATAGAGCTCCAGCCTTGTAGTCAGGAGGATCTGAGTTCAAATCTGGCCTAGACACTTGACACTTACTAACTGTTATGACCCTGGTCAAGTCACTGAACCTCAATTGCCTCACCAAAAATAAAAAAAAATAAAAAAATAAAGAGACAAGAACCTGACACAGAATGCCAGTGTGATTGTTTCCCTTAACAAATATTTCTTCATTTTCCTGGGTTTCATGTTGTCTAAAGGACAGAGCACTGGGGAGCACCATCTTACCTATGGTAGCAGTCCTTCCATAGTGCTGCAAGCATGGGTATGCTGGCAAACATTTAACTACCAGCTTTTGGGGGGGTGGAGGGGAATTTACTATAAGACACATGTAGGTTTAATTATCATTATTAACATTTTCTCTATCACTTTCTTAAGTCTAGACAATTGACCAAAAAATAAATCAAACCCTGATTTGTAGCATTTGCTGATTTCAGAGGTATAAATGTTCACACTGAAAATTTAACAATTGGCACACCACTGGCTATAAGTAGATTTACAGCAAGGAGTCAGATTAGACTAGGGGTGGAGAACCTGAGGCCTCGAGGTCACATGTGGCCCTCTAGGTCCTCCACTGTGGCCCTTTGACTGAATCCAAATTTCACAAACAAATCTTTGTTTGATTTTGCTCTGTAGCCTCGAGGCTACAGGTTCCCCACCCCTGGTCTAGACAATAAAAGCTTGAAATAATAAAAAAATTCTTGGACTCCGTATTCATTGTTCTTTCCACTCCATATTTCCCCATCTTCAGGGAACCACAGGAGGTCAGGGCCCTAGGATCACAGATTTAGTTTGTCATGACCCTGTAAAAGACATGCCCTCCAATGTGGCTCCCAATATCCTCTTTTTGCTCTCCTTAGCTGATGGATGGGTAGGATGTTTGGGGCCTCCTTCACCTCCTCACCTGAGCAGCTCTAGGACACAGGTGAGGACCTTGGGTTTTAGAGGAAGGCATGGGTTCTCTCACAGGCATGTCTGGTTGGTTTCACGTCTGTGATGTCACAGTCAGGGAGGCCCTGGTGATTGGTCAGTGATTATACAGGTGGAGGGTTCAGAAGTTTCCAGGCATAGAAGATTCCAGGAAAGGGCAGGAGGAGGGGAGATTAGGCAGGAGAAAGGACGTATCTATAGCAGAGAGTTCCTGCTGCTAACAAGCCTTATGGATTTCAGACAGGCCCAAAGAATCAGAGAGGTTGTTTTGGACTATCCCACACAATTTTTTTTCCTACTAGAATCATCAGGAAATGTTGTTCAAGGATCACTGGGGGTAAGTCCAAGCTGTGGACCCCTTCCTATCCCTGTTCCTAAGCCCTTTCTAATCCTCCTTACTCTCCTGCCTCTCACCACCACCACCACCACCGCCGCCACTTTATTCTACAACGTCACCATATTGTTACAGAATTTCTCGATTTCTATTTCCGGGTTGGGAATGTGGAGATGCTTAAAAGCCACCGCCAAGAGTCATGGTGGTCTCAGATATGAAACTAAGACATCAAAGTGAGCAATGAACTTGGAATCACGGGACCTAAGGTTGAACATTGGCCCAGCCTGTGTGATTTTGGGCAAATCATGCCCTTCTTTAGGTTTTTGTTTCCATAAAATGACGGGGCTGGGCTAACAATTTCTAAACTGGTGCCTAGAGCTATGATCTCATGTAATTAAACATTGGAACTTTTTATGATTTTAAGATTGAATTTATTACTAATTACATATGGCTCTCATCATAAGATAAATGATTCAAGAAGGATTTTGTCAGTTTGGGAAACTCAGTATAAGAATTCTCTCCATCAGCCCAGATCATGACACATCTGTGACTTAATAAATAAGTCTCTAGCACACAGTGGGCATTTAATAAATGTTGATTGATCAGTAACAGGCTCACAATAATGGAACAGTCCCTGTGCCAGACTATCTCTTGGCGGGGTACATGCAGTGGGGAGAAGGGAGGAATAAATGTTGAATGATGAATTGAAATGAAATCAGTCGGCCAGATAATGTTATGGTTGCTTGTAACTTGCCCAATCTTGGGTAGATACAACACCGCAACTAACTTTTTAAACTTCTTTCTCTGGGTTGTCTCCTGTATTCCTTTTCTACGGAACCATCAGAGAAAGGTGAACTCGATTACAGATCGATGCAAAGTAGTGGATTGAGTGGCTCCCTTGAATCTAGGCACACCTGACTTCAGTTCTGCTTCTGATCCTTACTAGCTATGGAAAAACCATCTGGATCCCCTGGGCCTCAGTTTCCTCATCTACTAAATAGAGGGTTTGGGCTAACTGATCTTTGAGGTCCCCTCCAGCTCTCGGTCCAGGATCCTTGCCTCCTCTGGGATCTACCTCTCCCTTCCAACACTAAATAGATGCTCTCTGAATCCGACCACACAAGGTCTCTGAAGGCTCTGTCTTTTGACATTTTTGCTCCTGGACAGTGTTGATGGGAGAAGGATGACAAGGGCCCAATTCAACCTGCCTTTGTCATCTTGGGAGTCGTACAGAACCTCAGAGTAGAAAGTGATCTTGGTCCGTTCAGCGTAACCCTTAGCTGAAGGAATTCCCCCTCCCCAACAACAACCAGGCCCTGCTCAAAGCCCTCCCATGAGGTCTTCCCTCATGGTGGTTCAATGTCATACTCCCCCTCCCAGCTGGCCTGTGATTTTGCCTATCTCTCTAACATGAACAAACAGATTTTTTTTAACTTAAAAGGAATAAAGGAACACTACAGGGGAATATTGGAAATTACTCAGACAAGTTAAATTTCAAGATGAAAACATAAGAAGTTCCTGCTGACTTGAGAATTTTCTTGATCAATCAATCCATGAACAAGTATTAGGTGTCTGCAGGACACTGTTCTAGATTAGTCCGTGGGGATATACCCACGGAAGTGGAACAAGGGAAGAGCCACCACATTCACAGAGAAGTGAATGCAAGATAAATATGCAGCTTTGGGGGTGGCCCTAGGAACTGGGAGGATTATAAAAGGCCTTTTGTAGGAAGCAGAGGTGAAGAGGAGATGCATTCCAGGCATGAGGGGACAGTGCACATGGAAGATCAGAATACTGTGTTCAGAAAGTGATCCTCGGCTGCCAGAGCTCCCCTATCCTCGCCCCAAAATTTCCTTGGATTTACTTTGCATATACTTAGAATTAAGAGCTGGAAGGGACCTCCGAGGCTATCTAGTTGAACCCCCCTCATTTTGTAGATGCGGATGCTGGGGCTGAGGGAGGCGGAGTCTCTTGCCCAGGCTCCCACAGGCTGGGTCAGAGGTGGATGTACCTGTTGTTTGCCCCAATAGAATGTGAATTCCTGGAGGACATGGAAGGTTTCACTTTTATCTTTGTCTCTCCCACACTTGGCACAGTGTCTGGCACTCAGAAGGCATTTAATAAATACTTGTGGATTGATTGACTAATGGATAAACTTATGGATGGATGGAGGCAGTGGGAAATGGATGGATGGATGGAGATAGGGAGGAATAGATAGATGATGGATGGATGGATGGATGGATGGATGGATGGATGGATGGAGGCAGGGAGGAATGACTGAATGGATGGATGGATGGAGGCAGGGAGGAATAGATATATGATGGATGGATGGATGGATGGATGGATGGCTAGGTAGAGGGATGCCAGTGCACACATCTGACTTCTCTTTCCCACAGGAACGTCCACTGACCTTCATTTCCTAGGATGATCCCTCCTACGACTGGGACCCCTCCTCCAAGTGAGGTTCTCTTCCCTACATTGACTTCTCAGGAATTCTGGAGGTCACAGGTCTCCAGGTACACAGGAACCGTGACTCGGCACATCAGTCATCGGGCCAACAACTTTAAGAGACACCCTAAGAGGAGGAAGCATATCCGGCCCTCTCCACCCCCACCTCCAAACACACCCTGTCCTATAGACCTGATTGACTTTGGAGACCTGCACCCCCAGAGGTCCTTCCGGGAGCTGCTGTTCAATGGCTGCATCCTCTTTGGAATTGAGTTCAGCTACGCCATGGAGACAGCGTACGTGACCCCCGTACTGCTCCAGATGGGGCTCCCTGATGAGCTCTATAGCATGGTCTGGTTCATCAGTCCAATTCTAGGTAACTATTAATTTCCAATATTCTTCTGGTATCTTCAGGTCTCATACAATAATGGCAATAGCTAACATATTTATACAGCATTCTAAAGTTTGCAAAGCTTTGTGTGTATTAATTAATCAATCAATAATCATCAAGTGTCTACTCTGTGCCAGGCACTGTGCTAAGCACTGGGGATACAAAAAGAGGCAAAAGGTAGTCCCTACCTTCAAAGAGCTTACAGTCTAATGGGAGAGGGGAGACATGCAAATAAATATATGCAAAGCAAGTTATATACAGAATAAATAGGAAATAATTAACAGAAGGAAGGTCCTAGAATTAAGGAGGGTTGAGGAAGGCTTCCAGTAAAAGATGGGATTATTGTTGATACTTGAAGGATGCCAGGGAAGTCAGTAGTCAGAATGGAGAAGGGAGAGTATTCTAGGCATGGGGGACAGCCAGAGAAAATACTGGAGCCAAGAGGTAGAGTGTCTTGTTCATGGAGTAGCCAGGGAGCCTGGATGGGAGAGTACATGTTGGGGAGGAAAGTACAGAAAGCCTGGAAAGGTAGGAGGGGCCCAGGTTGTGAAGGGCTTTGAATGTCAAAGTATTTTGTATTTTATTCTAGAGGCTATAGGAAGTTACTGGAGTTTATTGAGTAGTGATCTGAACTTTAGGAAAATCCCTTTAGGAGCTGAAGGGAGGATGGATTAGAATGGGGACAGACCTGGGGCAGGCAGACCCACCATCAGGCTATTGCAATAGTCCAGGTGTGAGGTGATGAGAGCCTGGACCAGGATGGTGGCAGGGTCAGAGGAGAGAAGGAGATGTATTTGAGATTCTGCAAAGGTGAAATTGGCAGACCTTAGCAACAACATGGATGTGTGTGTGTGTGTGTGTGTGTGTGTGTGTGTGAGAGAGAGAGAGACAGAGACAGAGACAGAGACGAGTTCAAGATGACCCCTTGGCTGTGAACCTGAGGGACTGGGAGGATGGACTAGGAGGATGGTGTCACCCTGTTTAATCTTGATAACAACTCAGTGAAGTAGGTGCTATTATGATCCCTGTATTACAGAAGAGTCAACTAAGACTGAGAGAAATTAAGTGATTTGTCCAGGGCCACATAATAAATGTCTGAGACAGGATTTGAACTCAGGTCTTCCTGACTCCAAGTCCAGTGCTCTACCCACTGGACTGCCTAGCTAGCTGCTTTTATAATTACACTGCATTTATGCATATATATGTATGGATGGATGGATGTATATGTGTGCACACAGATAAATGAGTCTGTATTCATGGTAGAGGGAGCTATGTGATTATTAATAACATAGTGGGGAAAGTACCCGCCCTGGATGCAGGGACTTGGGTTCAAATTCCATTTCTGCTTCTTACTCCCTTTGGGACCTTGAGCAAGTCCCTTCACCTCTTTGGGTCTCAGTTTCCTCATCTGTAAAATGAGCTGGAGAAGGAAACTGCAAACCACTCCAGTATCTTTGCCAAGAAAAGCCCATGTGGGGTCACTAAGAGTTGGATGTGACTGAAAGTGACCAAACAACAACAAACTCTCCATTGATGATGCCCAGCTCAGGTTAACCTGTGGTCATGGCATCAAAGATGGAGGGGCAAGAGACCTCAGAGGTCATCTGGTCAAGCCACCTCGACTTGAACTCCAGACCTTGGTGAAGGGACTTGCCCTAGGCAGGTAGGTGGCGCAATGGATAGAATGCTAGACTTGGAGTCAGGAAGACCTGAGTTCAAATTGTGCCGCAAACATTTACCAACTATGACCCTGGACAAGTCACTCTCTCAGCCTCAGTTTCCTCATCTGTAAAATGGAGATAAAAATAACATCTACCTCCCAGGTTATTGTGAAGATGAAATGAGATAATATTCCCAAATCACTTTGCAAACCTTCAAGTGCCATATAAATTCTAGTTATTATTATTACCCAAGGTCACAATGGTAAAGATAATTATAATAGCTGATGTTTATATCATGATTTAATATATGCCAAGCAGTTTATATACGCTATGATATCTGTATTTTGTTGTTCAGTTGTATCCAACTCGTCATTACCCCATTTTGGGGTTTTCTTGGTCAAGATACTAGAGTGGTTTGTCATTTCGTTTTCCAGCTCATTTTTACAGATGAGGAAACTGAGGCATACAGGGTTAAGTGACTTACCCAAGGTCACACAGCCAGTAAGTGTCTGAAGCCATATTTGAACTCATGAAACTGAGTCTTCCTGATTCTAAGCCCAGTGCTCTATCCACTGCATGACCTAGCTACCCTTATCACCTGTACTACATACATACATTTACCATACACGTCATCTCATGGCTCTTAACCCTTTGACTAGGTACTACATGCATCATTATCTCCATTTTGTGGTAATTGTTATTCAGTCATTTCAGTTGTCTCCAACTCTTTGTGTGTGTGTGTGTGTCTAACTCTTTGTGACTCCATTTGGGGTTCTCTACAAAGTTACTGGAGTGGTTTGCCATTTCCTTCTCCAGCTTATTTTTACAGATGAGGAAACTGAGGCACACAGGGTTAAGAGACTTGTCCAGGGTCATATAGCTAGAAAGTGTCTGAGGCCAGATTTGAACTCAAGAAGAGGAGTCTTCCTGACTCCAGGTGGGGTGCTCTATCCATTATGACGCCACCTAGGCTCAGAGATTTAAAGCGACTTGTCTAGAATCACATAGCTAAATAAGTATCAGAGATGAGATTTGAACCCAGATCTTCCTGAGAAGCCCAGTATTTTATGTAATATGCCTTCAGTGACCTTTGAGGTCTTTTCCAACTCTATTCTGATTCTAGCTTTGTCATGTTTGTCAATGATGGGATGGGACCAAATCAAGTCAACAAAAATTTAGTAAGCGCCTGCTGTGTGCCAGGCACTGTGCTAAGTGTTGGGGATGCAAAGAAAGGCAAAAACAGTCCCTGCCCCTTTGGCTTCAAGCAGGTGTGACAGGCAAGGGGGGAAGTTCCTGCCCTCAAGAAACTTCCAATCTAATGAGACAGAAAACATGAAAACAACTTTTTACAAATCAGTTATAGACAGGTAAATTGGAAATAATCACAAAGGGAAGTCACTAGCAAGAAGGGAGATTGAGAGCATCTTCTTGTAGAGTGTGGGATTTTAGCTGGGGCTGGAAGGAAGCCAGGGAAGCCAGGAGGCGGAGATGTTAGGAAGCCATCCAGACCAAGGGAATAGTCACTGGAAATGGCCAGTGCCTGGAGATGACGGAGTGTCTGTGAAAGGCAGAGCCAGGAGGCTAGTGTGGCTGCATCACCGACTGTGTGGAGGGGGAGTGAGGAGACTGGAAAGGCAGGAGGGAGCCAAACAGAGCCAAACAGAGGGTTTTCTGTTTGATCCCGGAGGCAATAAGGAGAAACTGGAGTTTATCGAATAAGGACCAGACTTGTGCCTTAGATGACTTTCATAGCTGCATGAAGGATGAACTAGAGTGGGGAGATACTTGAGGTAGGAAAGCAGTCAGCAGTCCTGCACCAGGGGATGAGAGTGCCAGAGGAGAGAAGGGCGCATAGGCAAGAGATGTTATGAAGGTAGAAATGCTTAAGGGGCAGGTGGCACCATAGTGCATTGAGCATCGGACCTAGAGTCAGGAAGGCTCATCTTCCTGAATTCAAATCTGCCCTCAGACACTTAGTAACTGTGTGACCCTGGGCAAGTCATTTCACCCTATTTGCCTCAGTTTCCTCATCTGTAAAAAGAGCTGGAGAAGAAAATGGAAAACCGCTCCAGTATCTCTGCCAAGAAAACCCCAAATGGAGCCTCAAAGAATCAGACACAGCTGAAAAATGACTGAACAACAATAGAAATGTTTATTCAGACTTGGCAACAGATTCTATAAGGGTGGGGGAGGGGGAGGGGTCGGAGAGTGAGGAATCAAGGATGACCCCTAGATGCAAGCTGGGGTGACTGGGAATATGGTGGTCTTCTAGAGAAGTTTGGAAGAGGTCAGGGATTGGGGGGAAGCTAGCAAGTTCTGTTCTGAACACATTGAGTTTGAGGTGTCCATCGGACATCCAAGATGACCAGATAGACAGATGGAAATGCAAGACTGGAGGTCAGGAGAGTTTAGGGCTAGATAAATAGGCCTGAGAATCATCAGCATAGCAAAGCTCTGTCTAAGATTCCTTCGAGCTCTGATGTCATGACCTGGGGGTTCTGCTGAAGATGTGGAATCATTAGATTTAGGGCTGAAAAAGATCTGATACATCAACTTGTCTTACTGCCTCATTTGACAGTTTTGACAGCTGAGGCCCCCAGAGACCAAATGACTTGCCCAAGATCTCATAGCTAGTAGAAGACAAATCTGGGTCCTGAGAAAAAGGAAAACAGCAAGAAAAGGCAGCAAAAGACAGTGTAAAGAACATTAGCTTTGAAATCACAGGTTCTGTGTTCAAAACCTGATTCTGCTATTTAGTACCTATAGCACTCTGGGCTTAAGCTTTTTTTTTTTGGCAATTGGGGCTAAATGACTCGCCCAGGGCCACACAGCTAGTAAGTGTCATGTGTCTGAGGCCGGATTTGAACTCAGGTCCTCCTGACTTCAAGGCTGGAGCTCTATTTACTGCGTCACCTAGCTGCCCCAAGCTTCTCTTCTTTCAAATGAGGTGGCTGGTCAAGATGGTCTCCTGCAGCTCTGTGTTTTAAGTCCCTTTCAGCTTTTAATTTGTATTGTCCTGAATTAAGTTTTGTTTTGTCCAGACAAGACCAAACAGTTTCTGTATAACAGTCTTTTTTAAAAAAGTATTTTTAAATTCCGAACTTAACAAACACCCAATAAAATGAACATTTCCACATATAAAGTCAAATAGGTAAAGAGGTTTGCACATAGAACTATAAATCTCTTATTAGGTAGAGCTTGCTATTCCTTTTATGTAACAAATCCAATATATAATTTATATAATACATTATTATATTGCATATAATTATATTATCATATATTATATAATTATAATATCATTGCAGCATAATATGTAATCATTGAAGGTATGCACTATATATAATTATATCAATAAATTAGACGCATATCACAATATAATAATACATTATATATTATGATATAATTATATAATTTCTATGATTTTGTTATATAATATATAATTAATATGATCATATATTATATACTTTATATGATTGTATGTAATATATAATTTATATAATAAACTAAATATAGTATTACATAATCAATAATAAATTCAACATGTCACTTTCAAAGCTGTCCTGCTGGTCTATGTTCCATTTCCGTCTGTTCTCTTTTCATGCTTTGTGGGGGGAAAAAAGGCATTAAAGAATGTTTCAGTGGCCCTCTTTTCTTTTTCTTTTCTTTTTTCTACAGCCCAATCACTTTTCCCCTCCAATCTTTTGCCCAAATTGGTTTTTTTGGGGTTTTTTTTTTTAGCAAATATGCAGTCAAGGAAAACAAATCCCTATAGTGGCTGCCCAGTTCAATACATTAGATTCTGCACAACACAATGCAAATGTGAGCTCCTCCACTAAGGCCTTTCTTGATTCTATTCCACCCTGTCTCACCTCCTGTATTGTTAATCCAAAAATACACGTGCCTTTTTGTATCTTGAGTTAACCCCTCTGCTGACAGAGGTGGATAGTGTGCTACATTGGAGGAACTGTGGATCAGTCATTGAACTCACTAAACACCTTGTCTTTCAAAGTCATTTTTAACACCCAGTGCCACCTGGACCATCTCTGTCAGAGGCAGGATTTGAACCCTGGTCTTCCTGGCTCTGGATCTAGCCCTCTGTCTGCTATGCCATGCTATCTTAAACTTGCTTATATTTGTTTTGTTTCATTCTAAAGGTGGACCAAGTGAGGGTTCTGCCCTTTCTATTTTAAAGTCCTCAATTTAGACCAGAGAAGGATCACTAATTTAGGAGGCCTTACAGCTAACAGGCATCCCGGACCACTTTGGGAAGACAAAGCAATAGGGATGAAAGTTCTCTGGGAGTGGGATACCTGAGAGTAAGTGATTCCTAGGAATCCTCTGAGCTGTCACAGCTGCATAGGGTGACTACTGACACGAGGCTAAGTAGAGACTTTAAAGGAATCCTGAGAGAATCCTCTTGATTCCAGAGCTCATGGTTTCCCTACTGACTGACATTCCAGGTGTTCCTTTCACCCATCCTCTCAAAATAATAATCAAAATAACTAGCATTAAGGTTTCCAAAGCACTTTACAAATGTTATTTTTTTCTTACAACAATCCTGGGAGATAGGTATTATTTTTATCATCGTCACTTTCAGATGGGGGATCTGAGGCAGGTTAATTGGCTTGGCTAGGGTCACATAGCTAGGAATGATCTGAGGCAGGATTTGAATTCAGGTCTTCTTGGCACAAGGTCCAGTGCGCTATTCTCTGTACCACCCAGCTGCCTAGAAGCTACATGGTTCTTTAAAACACAACTCAAGTATGACCTCTTACACCAAGGCCTTTCCTAATTCTGTCCCACCCCTATCCTACCTCCTACTGTTAGTATTATTTCCTTTTACAGTTACTTTCTATTTAGTTTACTTACCTGTGTATGAATTTTTTCTCCCCAGGAAAATATTTTAGGGCAGGTTCTAAAATGATTTCTCTCTCTCTCTCTCTTTCTGTCTCTGTCTGTCTCTGTGTCTTTTTTTCTCTGTTTCTGTGTCTCTTTCTTTTTCATTGTCTCTGTTTCTCTCAACGTCTGTTTCTCTCCCTCTCTGTCTTTCTCTCCATGTCTTTGTCTCACTGTCTCTCTGTCTGTGTATGTGTATATGTGTCTCTGTTTCTCTCTGTGTGTCACTGGCTCTGTCTTTCTCCCTGTCTCTCTGAATATGTCTCTGTGTCTCTGTCTGTCTCTCCTTCTCACCAGCTCTTTTGGGTGCCAGATGTGAATACTAGTGATAACCACGGCCACCTTTCCTGTTGCAGGCTTCCTACTGCAGCCTTTGTTGGGTGCTTGGAGCGATAGGTGCACTTCAAAGTTTGGAAGGAGACGGCCTTTCATCCTGGTGCTGGCTATAGGTTTGTGCTTTTGCTATTTTAATTCCCCACCCTTTGACTCCCCAAGGATCCCCAAGGATCAACCCCTTGATTTCAGAAAAGCCTAACCTGGTGATGAAAGCAGCTGTGCAGGGAATCCTCACCTGCCTTACTCAGGGAGCAGCTAGTTTGACTTTTGTGTTTTCACCTTTATACACTCTCCTGGGCTGAGATGTAAATCACGTAGAAGGGCTCATCCCTACCCTGTAAATGTAGCTTATATTGGTACACCTCCTTGACTACAGGACAAGGTAGGATTTTTCCATGACTTGGCCCTGTAGACCTGAGCTTCTTAAACTTTTTCCACTCACTACCCCTTCAGCACTTCTTAAACTGTAGGTCACAACCCATGGGTTGAGTTTAAGAAGCACTGCTCTAGAGGACTAAGTCTCCCACCATAGATGGCAAACCTATTTCTTACATGAAAGAATATGCTAAGTCATTAAGTCATTTTCACAATTCCAAAAGGCTGCACCTGGCGTTACCCAAGGGCATGTTGCTGAGCCAACAGCAACCTGGGGCTTAGGTTTTAGTTCAAAGTGGCCGGTTAATGCCTTCTCCTGGTTGACTCACCAGGATCTTTTTTCCTTCTTGTGTTCTAGGTGCACTCCTGGGGCTTTCACTTTTACTGAATGGGAGAGACATTGGCCTAGCTCTGGCAGACACTGTCAGTAATCATAAATGGGGCATCATTCTCACGGTATGTGGAGTGGTCCTCATGGATTTCAGTGCTGACTCAGCAGACAACCCGAGCCACGCCTATATGATGGACGTATGCAGTCCTGTGGATCAGGACAGAGGACTGAACATCCATGCCCTTTTAGCAGGTACTGCATTGCTTTCAAAAGGCCAATCAAGGCCTCGCTCAACATGGCGCCATGAGCCTTATACATTGAGGGTGGTTGAATGTGATTTAATTGAATTAACTTCTTACATAACAAAAGCTTCCTAACCATTAAAACTATCTCAAACTTGAATGAGGGTGGGGGGTAATGGGAGGGTCTTCAAGCAAAGATTAGGGGATCATTTATTTGAGGAATTGAAGAGAACAGTCTGTTTTGGCTGCCTGTTAGGCTAGCTGGCCTCTAATATCCTGTGATTGTCCCTAAGTTGGGGATGAAAACAATGCTTAGTGGTCTGGTGGAGAGGGATGGTGATTTGCACCAGTGGAAGGAGCTGCCCTGCAGATGAGAAAAGAGGTTAATCCAAGTGGGAAAACAAAGTTCTTGCAGCGATTGAGTTCCACAGAATGCCCAGAAGAGTGAGCCCATTTATAGGTCACAGGATCATAGACTTAAATTTGGAAGATGTCCAAGAAGACATCAAGTCCAACCCTCTCGTCTTACAGAAGAGGAAACTGAGGCACAAAGTAGTTAAGTGACTTGCCCAAGGTCAAACAGGATTTCAGTTCAACACTCGACTCCAAATCTAGCACTCTTTCTTCAGGTCAAGGAAAAGAATTAGCTACATGGCTTATTTTAACATCTTTATACTTCTAATGGAGCAGGAGGGGCAGTACAACATAGTTGATAGAAGCTCAAAGTTAGGAAGCCCCAGGCTCAAGTCCCACCTCTGACTCATACTGCCTAGATGACCCTGGGAAAGCTCCTCAGCCTGACTCAGTGTGTCCAGACAGCTCTCTCAGTCTGTAAGTCACAAAGCAGATGCTGATCGGTTTTGTGGGAGGGAGTTTACTCACGGGGAGGAAATGCCAATGAAATAAAAGGTCTGGACCAAACAAAGAATTTTCTAATGAGAGACAGCAGGTGTTTAGCAGGCTCACTTTGCATTCAGGAGGGTTTGGATTTAAGATCTGCCTCCGAAACATGTAGGATCAGAGGGAGTTTCAATATTGCTAGTTCCTGATACTGATGAAATCAGATCTGGACCAAATGAACAATACTTTTAAGGTGAAGAGTATTAGAAATGAAAGAAACAAAAAAGGAGCTATTATGTACCAAATAAATACAAGGCGACTTGGAAGAGGGAAGACCGCATTCAATGGATGGGGGCAGGAAGGTGATGCTTGAACCAAGCTCTGAAGGAAATTCAAGATTTCCAGAGACATACAGCAAGAGGGGTGACCAGGGAAGGGAGGTTTTATCTGGGGGCTGGGGGGTTGTCACAGGAACAGCGAGTAGGGAGATAGGACAATCGGTTTTCTTGTTCTTTCCAGAAGAAATGGTAGTACTGATTTGATGATTGTTTTCAGAGCAAAAGATGAAAAGAGGGTATGTGTAGGACAAGGAGGTGTACTCCTGTGGCAGGATGGATGGTGACATGGCCCAAGATGTCTTGGATGGAAGGATGGATGGATGGATGAATGGATGGATATAAAGCATGGTCTGGGGCAAGTTATCTATGGTTTTTAGGTGATTTTATATTCATTCAGTAGCCAATCAAGCTCAGCTTGAGTGGAGGTCTGAGCTGAACAGATTAACTCACCCAGGGAAAAGAGGAATGGTCTCTGGGCCATATGGGGTTATTCCATGTAGGACAGCAGGGGCAGTGAAAAGATAGCAAGATGTCCAAAAGTATCCAGGCTGGATGGATGATTATAGTTAATAAGGATATTAAAGGCTAACATGGAAAACATTAGATCCCAGAATTTTAGGTTGGAAGAGACCATTTAGTCTAAATCATAGCTGAAGAATTCCTTCGCTACATACCTAACAAGTGTAAAAAAAATTAACACCATATTCTTTATTTCAAATACAACTCTGCTGAAACCATTTTGTTTAACAATTGTTCTAAAGCTCAGTCACTGCTAACTTAGAGAGAAAAATGTCCAAACTGCACCCCCCCCCTTTCTCTTCATTGCCCTCAAACACAGGTCTCCCCCAAGATGATTTGAGGTAAATTTTATAGGATTCCTTCACAGGAAAAAAGTATCATGATGTATTAAAATGGAATTTGCGGTTAACATTCTAGAATAATAGTCACTTCTCAATTCCCTCCTGGACCGCCACCCCCATCAAGGATTGAAAGGAAAGTCTACCTTCCTGTGGTCAACATTACAATACCTTCTGAATAGCAGAGGAAGGCCCTTCCCCTGAGCAGCTTAAAGGACGCTTGATTCCAGGGATGGGGAAGGCAAGAATCTAAACAAGACATGACAAATTTGGTTATTGTCCCCACTCCATTTCCTTTTTTGTTTGTTTATTTTTTGTTTTTTGTTTTTTGTTTTTTTCTTTGCTAGGCAGTAGGGTTAAATGACTTGCCCAGGGTCACACAGCTAGTAAGTAGTGTGTGTCTGAGGCCAGATTTGAACTCAGGTCCTCCTGACTCCAGGGCCGGTGCTCTATTCACTATGTCACCTAGCTGCCCCCCCCATTCCATTTCAAAGTGGGTGGAGCATAGGAAATAAACATTTATTCAGCACCTACTATGGGGCAGATGCCGTAGAAATATTATCTCACTTGATCCTCCCAACAATCCTGAAAGGTAGGTGCTGTTTATTATCCCCATTTTACAGCTGAGGAAACTGAGGCAAATTAAGGTTAGGTAACTTGCCAGGGTCACACAACTAATTAGTTTCTGAGGCCAGATTTGAACTCAGGTCTTCCTGACTCCACGCTCAGTACTTTATCCATTGAATCACCAAGGCCTTAGCTTTTGTTTTCCCCATATTCCTAAAAAGAAAAGTCTGGAATGGGTTTTAAGCTAGAGAGAATATGATTTCTTAATCCCCTACCTTTTGTCTTCTTCAGCATAATTATTTGAAACAAAAATCTAGATTAATCCTAGAATCTCGATTTTATATCTGCTAACCACTGGTAAGCTATATTATTTTATTTGGTTCAAAATATGGAGGAGGTACAGCTAGGTGGCACAGTGGATAGAGCACCAACCCTGGAGTCAGGAAGACCTGAGTTCAAATCCAGTCTCAGACCAGACACTTGACACTTGCTAGCTATGTGACCTTGGGTAAGTCATTTAACCGCAATTGCCTTGCCTATATATATGGGACACTTTCTGTTTTCTTTTAATACATTAAAATGCAACAAAACAATGAGATAACAAGAACTATTCTGGATGTAATAACTGTTTATCACGTGACATAATAGGGTTAGGTATTGCCCTGAAATGGGGCCCAGAAAGCAATAGAGTATAGGGGGAGACAAACGTGACTGTTCAAACATACTTGATTCTCCAGCCCAATCAATAGCCAGAAAACTATGCAGATTAACAAAACCTTCTAACATAGAGGTGGTCCAGTCTGAAGTGGGAATTTTATTCTGCTGATCAACTGGCCAGTAAATAGTCTGATTCCCTTAGCAATAGCAATTACAGAATAAATATTCTGAATCTATACACCAGTTCTTCTCACATGGCTATACCTCCCACCTGGAGAGCATCCTTGTTATTATTTGTTCCATCTCACGAAGCTTACCAAGAACTGCAACTATATTCTCATCTCCAATTGTGTGGCCCCTCTACCTGGATGGATGTAAAGGTTAGCAAACTCATCAGTTCTCTATATTGGTGCTATTCCAAGAGAAGTTACCATAAATTAATTAGGCTCCTCTGGGGAGCTTATCAAACACATCATGATGGACTACTCAGTCCCACACGCGTTCTTCCCAGGATTCCTGAGTCAAGTCCCCAACTCCCTTCCTGGGGTCATAGGCATGGAAAGTGCATTGTGAGTATTTACATTGCCAACCTCAGAAACTTTTTCACAGGAGCATTTTTTCAGCTGCACCCTATAACGGACTGTTTGGTCACTTTCCTGGGCACAGAGGCATCTGGAGCCTTGATTTCTCATTCAATTAACCAAAAAGCCTAAGAAGACTGGGGAGGAGTTGTTGTTATGAAGGACTTTAAATACCCAACATAGGATTTTGTATTTGATCATGAAGATGACAAGCATTGAGTATGAGGTGACATAGTTAGACCTGCATTTAGGAAAATCACTTTGGTGGTTAAATGGAGGGTAGATTGGAGTAGGGAGAGACTTAGGGCAGGCAGACCCCCCCAGCAGCTATTGCAATAGTCCAGGCGTGAGGTGATGAGGATCTGTATGAAGATGGCAGCAGAGGAGAGAAGGGGACACATTTGAGAGATGTTCCAAAGATGAAATCAACAGGTCTTAGAAACAGAGTGAATATTGGGTGGGAGGAGGGGGTGAGAGATAGGGAGGAATCCAGGATGATTCGGAGGCTACAACCCTGAAGAACTGGGAGGATGGTGATGCCCTTGACAGCAATGGGGAAGTTAGGGAGGTGGGGGAGGGTTTAGGGGGGAAAGATGATGAGTTTGGTTTTTGGACACAGTGAGTTTAAGATGTATACTGGTCATTTAGTTTGAGATGCTTAAAAAGCTTCTGGAGAAGTGAGGCTGGGGGTCACCCAGCAGAGGGGTTGGGGCAAGATAGGTAGATTTGAGAATTTTCAGCACTGAGATAGTAATTAACTGCATCGAAGCTGATGAGATCACCAAGTGAAGTAATATAGAGGGAGAAGAGAAGAGGGCACAGGATAGAGCGCTGAGGTTGTGGTGAAGACAAAAAACAAGAATTAGGGTTGCAGGGTACAGGGATAGGTAGGCTCACAACAGGTTAAGATCTGATAAAGAAATTTCAGAATTCATGGACATAGAAATGAATCACTTGGTGGGGGGATGCCAAGATCAAGGGTATGGTATCATTACACATACATAAATCAACCAAAATTTCTGATCGTCAACTGAGGTAACCAACAAGAATTTATTAAGCACCTAACATGTTCCAAACCAGAATGAAAGTCTCTTCCCTCAAGAAGCTTACATTCTATTGGAGGATATAATAGTTATATTATATTATAATATAATTATATATTATTATAATATATTATATAAAAATAATATATATTATTATAATATAATTACTATTATAAGTATTATATATGCTAATATAATATTAGTATTTGTGCCAATTTGTTGTTCTTTTGCATATTTAGTAATGTCTGAATCTTTGTGACCTCACTGGGGTTTTCTTGGCAAAGATACTGGAGCAGTTTGCCATTTCCTTCTCCAGCTTATCTTACAGATGAGGAAACTGAGGCAAAGAGGGTTAAGTGACTTGCCCAGGGTCACAAAGCTAGGAAGGGTCCAAAGCCAGATTTGAACTCAGGACCTTCTGACTCTATATTATGCTCTATTGGGGCTGTAAGGCAGCACCATAGTGTGCAGAGTGCTGGGCCTGGAAGCAGGAAGACTCATCTTCCTGAGTTCAAATCTGGCCTCAAATACTTACTAGCTGTGTGACCCTGGGCAAGTCACTTCACCCTCTTTGCCTCAGTTTCCTCATCTGTAAAATGAGCTGGAGAAGGAAATGGCAAACCCCTCCAGTATCTTTGCCAAGAAAAACACAAATAGGGTCAGTAAGAGTCGTGCATGATGAAAACGAATGAATAACAACAACAAAACCATGCTCATATTCATACCCTCCCATTTGTTTAGACATTTTCCAAATGATGTGGTCCTGCTTTATTTCCAGGTTGTTGCTATCACAAAAAGTGAATATTTTTACATACATGGGACCTTTCCCTCTACCTTTGACTTCATAAGGAATATAAACTGTTTTCTCCTCTCCTCCCCAACCCTTCCTTTCCTGCCTCTTTCTTCCTTTCTCACTGCTTTTCTCCTCTCCTCTCCTCTCCTCTTCTCTTCTCTTCTCTCCTCCTCTCCTCTCTCCTCTTCTCCTCTCTTTTCCTCTTCTCTCCTCTCTTCTTTTCTCTTCCTGTCCCCTCCTTCCCACTTCTCCTCTTCCTTCCTTGGCAAGGAAAGGTATTTAAATCCTATTTCTCTCATCAGGTCTTGGAGGAGGCTTTGGATATGTCGTTGGAGGAATAAACTGGGACAAGACCAGTTTCGGCAGAGCCCTGGGGGGGCAGCTGCGAGTCATTTATGTCTTTACTTCTGTCACCTTGAGTATCACCACAGTGTTGACGCTCATCAGCATTCCAGAGAGGCCCCTGAAGCCCTTTAGCAAGAAGAAAACTGTGATGAAGAGCCCAAGCCTTCCTCTTCCTCCTTCTCCCCCTGTTTTGTTCGAGGAAGGCACCACTGACAATCTTGGCTCTCAGAATGCAACTCATTTATATGCCAGTTTTACCAGCCCTATTTCTCCTCTCAGCCCTCTCACACCCAAATATGGCAGCTTCATCAGCCGGGACAATTCTCTGACCGGGATTAATGAGTTTGCTTCTTCCTTTGGAACTTCTAATATTGACAGTGTACTCATAGACTGCTTTACTGCGGGGCATGATAACTACCTGGCCCTACCCGCTAGCTTACCCAGGCAGACCATCAGTGTCAGCTTCCCAAGGGCCCCTGATGGCTTCTATTGTCAAGAAAATGGAATTCTGGAAAGAGGGGCAGTCTCAGTAAGTCGTGCGCCAGAAGGAGATACGTTAAGGGTGGGCTCTTTGGATGCTCCAAAGCCTCGATCATCTGGGATTCTGAAAAGGCCTCAGACATTGGCCATCCCAGATGCTGTAATAGGAAGTTGTCCAGAAAGTAGCAGGAGAAGGAATGTGACCTTCAGTCAACAGGTAAGAGCAAATAAAGGGAGGGGAGAGGAAGATCTAACAGCATTTGTTAGTGAACATGATCTACTAGAGCTATTATTTAGGAATTACTGCAGATGAAGCATGGATGGAACTTGAAAAAGAGGAAAAATGAGCTTCGATATTAGGAAAAACTACGAATTCGAGCTGTGCAAAAGTGAAGGGCTGCCTTAAGAAGTAGTGGGTTCCCTTCATGAGAGGCCTCAAGCAGAGGCTGCAGGCTCATTTGTCAGGCATAGTAGAGTGGGAATTCATTTTTCAGAGTTGGGTGGGACCAGAGAACGTCTGAGGTCTTTTCTGCCTCCACAATTCTATGAGGCTGTGAAAGTAGCATGAGCTGCTACAGGAAGGAGTGAGGCTCCTCCTCCCTGCCAGTCCTTGAGTGAAGGAAGTTTGGCCCGTTAACTGTTGGGTATAGTGGAGAGGCCGGAACCAAAACTAGGTTAAATTTATGGGGTGTGAAAGTCGATGCCCTCCTTCAGCAGCTAAGAGGAATGGAGTTTAAAGCACCTCATTACTTTTTTGTAATTGAAATTTTTTTCAATTAAAAATCAATTTTCTCTCCCTCCCGTCCTCTACCATTGGGAAAAACAAAACCAAACCTTTATGACAAACATGCATAGTCCAGCAAAACAAACCCTTGCATTGGCCATGTCCCAAAAGTCTTATATCGATCTCACCCTGCACTTTGAGGGATCCCCTCTCTGTCAGGACAGCATTTGGCTAGACTTTAAGAATCTGAGCATTTGGCCAGATTTTACCATCTTAATGGAGACAAGATGGACCTTATATAGAGAAAGACTGTGGGAGGGATCCAGGAGTGGCCAAGTAGTCTGGGGTGACTGGAAGATCTGGATGGGAGTGGCCAGTAAGCTGGGGTGAAGGGAACTAGGGAGAATGGAGTCTAGATAGGATTAAGGGTGGGAAGTGACCAGGGGCTATCGAGAGGTAACAGAACAGAACTGGGAGATTGGGAGTTTATATGGGAATTATAGCCTCAGGTGAACTCCAGAGATTTAGCCAGGTGGGAAAGTCCAGGTTTTTTCCTTTTTGGGGTCCAGATCCCAAAGACATGGTCTTTTCCTTTTAGGGGTTCAGATCCCATCCCCATCATTCCCCCCTCAAACAAATGGGACCCAAATTCTTTTGGGGTAAGGGACGAAGGTCTTGGCTTCTGAAACTGCTTCCTGCTGGCAAGGGGTGTAGAGCTGTCACTGCCTCGAGGGAGTCCCAAAGAAGAGGTTGACTGGAACCGAGGACAGGCTGCATCCTGGGGATGATGGAGGGACATTGGCTGGTACCCGCTGTTTGCTACTAACTGTAGGTGAATGTCCTGTTGTCTGGAAGACATCTGACAGAAAAGACTGCAGGGCCAAGATATAGGGAGATGTAAAGGTGTAAGAGCCCCATTAAAATCATTTACATTTGACCTGCAGGGTTATCTGATTTTGTTGCTTTTTCTAAAGTTTAAGTAACACTTTGGCAGGTAGAAGTTTTCCATCATTGGGTTCAATAGTTACACAAATGAATTTGCCAAGAAGACTGACTTTCACTTCAATTATCATTGAAATTCTCTTTCCCAAACCAAACACAAGATGTTTCTGATTTAATTTCAGTTGTTTGGGGGTATTGAATGACTGCACATTCAGGTCAAAACAGCAAGATCTCATACACTTGCATTGATCTTTTACTGACCACTTGCTCTGACTGTAGAAATTTGCTATAAAAGGATAAAGCAGGGACTAAACTTAGAGCTCAAATATGACAGGATAAAACATTCTTAGCTCTGTTTGGATTCAGATAATTCAGTTTTCCAACCATGCAGTATCAAATCCACCGCATAGCCAGACTCAGGAATAGCCAGGTGGGTAATTTTCCTTTTCAAAGGAACAAAATGGGGAAACTGAGCCAGCAGAATCCCATCTTAGACTGAGACTAAAATTGTCCTCTTAGCTTTTCCTGATGCTAATTTCCCACCAGTTTCATATTCTCGCTGAGTAGCTTGTGCCATTTCTCTCAGATAGTGGATTATTGATTATCAGTGGATGACTATGATCCATCAGACAACTCAAAATAAAGCGGGAGAGGGAATTTTTGTTCAAAAGGGTTGGACAGGATGACCTTTGGGTTCTCTTCCAATTCTGAGATCCTGTTCGAGTCTATAAAGTGGCAGCTGCCATACTGTAAGTAGGTATTAGTAATTACATGTAAAAAAAAAAACCCAGAAAGTCTTGTAAATGGGAAACTCCTAAACTCCTATAAAGAGTTATGCAGGCTCAACATTTGTCTAGAGGTGTGTTAGCCTTTTATCAGGCTGACTGGATGACCAAAATGAATATAATTCAATAAACATTTATTATGAGTCTACTATAAGCAAGTTACTCTTATGCTCTGGGGAAACAGAAATGAGATTGAAATAGTTCCTGCCCTCCAAGAGCTTACAAATGCATAAACGAGTAAGTGAAAAGTATACAGAAAGTGATTCAAAGTTCCTTCATAAGGGAGAGAGAGTGCTAATGGCAGGGAGCTTTGGAGAAAGCTTAGGATACCACTGGGCAGGAGGGGAGGGAATGAGCAGACTGGAGAGGCCACTTCCATGGAGGCACAATGCCAGAACATGGTGGATCATGGAGAGGGATGGCTGGCAGTTGAAGAGTTAGTGAAGGTAAAGAAATGAAATTAGGATGGGATTGTGTTCCTAATGCCAAGAGGAAGAAATCATACTTTATCTTTTGGACCAGAGGGAGACCACTAAAGTGTGGTGACCCAGCTGGTCAGAGATGTGTCTTAGTAATATTCATTTGGCAGCTGTATAGAGGATAGATTGGTGAGCAAAGAGACTAGAGTCTGGAAGATGAATTAGTAGTCTATGATAATAGATAAAATGAGATAAAATTTAAGCATTGCAAACTCTAAAGTGCTATAGAAATGCTTATTGTTATTGTTGTTAATTATCCAGGTGAGAGGTGATGAGGGCCTAAAATTGGATAGAGGCTTTGTGAATGGAGGAAGGAGCTGGAGGGGAGAGATATAGGAGCAACTTGATGACTTATTTGATTGGGATGTGGAGGGAGAGAGAAGAGTTAAGGATCAGTACAGAGTTAGGAAGGTGGGTGACAGGAAGGATGATGGCATCCTCAACAGAAATGGGGAGTATTGGAGGAGGGATAGATTTGGGGGAAATAAGTTCCTTTTAGGGCATGTTGAGTTTGAGACACCTATGGGTCATCCGGTGGAGATGTTCAGCATCAAGGAACTCAAGGAACTCAAGAAAGAGTGTGGGGCTGGATTTGGGAATCGTCTTAAAGGAGATGATCATTGAACCTCTGGGATGTGATTAAGACACTGAAGGAGAATGTAGAGGTAAAAGGGCCTAGGGCAAAGTGATCAACCTTTAAAATGCTGGCATATCTGAAGAGAACGCCAGTAAAGGAAATATACCCTAGAAAAGTTGTTGGGTTTGTGATGGAATATTTTAGGACCTTCATTTATTTCTTGAGCTGACCATCAGATATCTTGACCATGGGTATATTTGGCTTATTATTTGCCCTTTGTTCTCGAAGAAGACCAATGACATCACAAGGTCTTAGAAAAGGCAGTAACCCCAAGAGATAAAAATTAAGAATCCTACATATAAAGACTGAAGGAATCAGTTATCTCAAGTACCTACCATTAAGTCCCTGAAGAAAATGAGCGATGCTTGGAAGGGTGGTGAGTTGAGGTCTTTTTTCAGGAAGATAAAGCAACTCTCAGAAGAGGTCAACCTCTATTTAAGTGCCTGTTGGCTGGGAGACAAGAACACAAACTAAATTCTGGGTTTTATTTTGCCTCTGGATATGACCTTGAACCACTGGATATAACCTTGAGCAAGTACCTAAAGAGGAGGTGGGGCTTGAGGTGAGCCTTGAAAAAAGTTCGAGGTTCCAAGAAGAAGGAGAGGATTCTGGGCCTGGAAGATGCCCTAGACAAAGGTCCAGAGCTGAGGGATGGAATGTTGAGTCTTGGGAATAGTTAGGAAGCCCATGGGGATGGGGGAGGGAGAGGGATCATGTGAAGCAGTGATTTCTTATGGATTTTGACCTTCAGGGACCCAAGGTCATGGTTCTGCATTCAATGACCCTGCAGTAACTGATAAACTCTGCCACCCCAAGTATGACAATGATACAAAGGCTCATACTAAAATTTGTGTCTGGATGCCAATTTGAAATGTCAACACTGCATGTCCCAAGGTGGATAAAGGCATGGTCCTTACGGAGGAGGACCTAGGTTTGTAAATTATCTCTGCCCCTAAGTAGAAATACAACCCTGGACAACACTTCATCTCTCTGGGTCCCAGTTTCCTTATTCATAAAATAAAGGGGTTGGATTAGCTGATCTCTAAATTCCCTTACAGCTCTAAATTGTAGTCCCCCCTCCCCAATATCTGCTGACTCTTAAGTTGATTTAAGACCTGAGTTCAAATTTGGCCTCATATTCGTAGTAGCTGTGTGACCCTGGGCAAGTCACTTGACCTGTTTACATCAGTTTCCTCATCTGTAAAATGAGGATTTAAAAAAAAAAGCATCTAACTCCCAGGATTGTTTTGAAGATGAAATGAAATGAAATAATATTTGCAAAGTGATTAGGGATGTGCCCAGTGCTTGTTGAGTGCTATATAAATATTAGCTATAAGCAACAACAATAATAATTATTGTCATCATCATCTCAAAGAGTCACAAAACCTCAGACTTGGAAGGGACCTCAGTGGGTACCCTTCCCTGTAAAAGAAGGCCCTCTACCATGTTCCCAACAAGAGTCATTCAACCTCTGCTTGGAGCCCTCCAATGAGGGGACCCCACCACCGCCCAAGGCAGCTGATTCCGCTTTTAGGTAGTTCCGATTGGCAGGCAGTTTTCCCCTTATATCAAAAGGCTAAATTGTTTTCTTTGCAATTCCCCTCTCCCTCCCAATTAAGGCACTTAATTCTATCTTCAGAATCTAAACAGAATAAGCTTAATTCCTCTTTCCTGCATTCTAAGCTTTTTTTAAGACAGCTAGGTGGCACAGTGGATACCCTGCCAGGCCTGGAGTCAGGAAGACCCTGGACCAGTCACTTACCCTTGTTTGCCTCAGTTTCCCCATCTGTAAAATGAGCTGGAGAAGAAAATGGCAAACCACTCCAGTGGTCACAAAGAAACTCCTATACAGGGTCATGAAGAGTCAGACATGACTGAAATGAATCAACAACAACATGGTGGTTCTCCCCCACTACTCCCCTCAAGGCTTAACATCCCCAGTTCCTTCAACTGATCTTTATATAGCATAGATTCTAGTCTCTTCACTATGATGGTGACTTAAAATGTTTCTCCCCTCTTTGATTCTCTGTAATGCTGAAGGTCACTTAACCTGAAGACCTGGGTTCAAATTGTGGCTCTCCTATTTACAAGTTGTGTGACCTTGAATAATTCACTCTGTTTCCTCATCTGTAAAATGATGGGGTTGTACTAGCTGGACACTGGGGTCCCTTCCAACTCTAAATCCTTCCATCCTAGGTCTGTCCTTTTCCAAATAGCAAAAGAATACTGGAATGGCCTCTAGAGGGCGCGTAAGCCATCACCTGGTCTGCGTGTTCTCATCTCCAGTCCCTTTTAGCTCCAAATCTCTGAAACTGTTAGCAATGAGTTCATGCTGGGATGGGGAGCCTGCGGCCTCGAGGCTGAAGTTTGACTGAAGTCAAAGGGCTGCACTTGAGGACCTAGAGGGCCACATGTGGCCTCGAGGCCGTGGGGTCCCCATCCCTGATAGAGTGTCCTGGATCCCTCCCACACATGTGGCATGGAAGCTTTGACCTGCTTCCTTTCTGACTTGGGCTGCTGCACTCATTGGGTAGCCTGGTCCTCCCCCAGCCCTGCTTTTGTGCTCCTGCAACTCAGAGCTCCCATCTCAAGTGGCCACCAACCTCCCTGGGAGCACTCTGCCCAGTCTTCTGATTCTAACCTCGTCCTCCATTTTCTCCTGATTTCCTTCGAATGAGTCAATCCTTTGGCTGTGATGATGGACAGTCTCACCGCTTGCTTGATTTTTGTGCTTTTATTCTTTGCAGGTTGCTAATATTTTACTCAACGGTGTCAAATATGAGAGTGAGCTGAATGGCTCTGGGGAGGTCTTGGAGCAGTCACTTTCCATGCGGCGTCTGTGTTCTACCATCTGCCATATGCCGAAAGCTCTTAGAAATCTCTGTATCAACCATTTCCTGGGTGAGTGCTAACCGCATCATGGCTAAGGAAGAAAGGGGAAGTCCTGACCATAAAGATGATGTTCAAGGTGGCCCCCCCCCATGGAAAGTCCTACCATTAAAGTTACTCTCTGGAGTTCATGGGATTTAGGTCTGGAAGAGACTTCAGAAGTCATGGGTTTGTAGATTTTGAGCTGGAAGGGTCTCAGAGGCCATCTGGTCCAATCTCATTCGACAGATGAGGAAGATGAGACCTCTGACTTGCTCAGAGGTACACAGGTGGCAAATGGCAGAATTGGGATTTGAATCCAAGTCCTCTGCTTTTGAATATACTTTTCTTAAGGCACCATCTCCAGAAGGTCCCCTTTAAATCATTTTAGGCAGCTGGTTGGCATAGTGTGGATAGAATACTGGATAGAATTCAGGAAGACCTGAATTCCAATCTTGCCTCAGTCACTAACTAGCAGTGTAACCCTGGAGAAGTCACTTAACCTCTGCTTGCCTTAATTTCCTCATATATAAAATGAGAATAATAATAATAATAACACCTATCTCTGTCTTGTTTTGAAGAATTATATATGTATTTAAACCATTTTGGAAACCTTAAATACTTATATAAATGCCATTATTATTACTAATTTTTCAAAGTAGCTAGCTGAAACTATGGTACAGTGTCATTGTTGAGTGGCAAGGTTATGAAAAAATTAAGAGGCGGGTGAGTCTGAAACCAATACAGCTCCATTTCCAGGTTCCCCTGCCCCTTCTGAGTCCCTAAGAGGGAGGTACCTATTCCTAAGTTGATTAGTAGGACGTATAAGAATCAATGATAAATTTTTATTTTTATTTTTCACTTTTGCTTTGGGCCAAACCAATATTAAACAATTATAGATGGGCAAGGGAGCTACAGCTTTAGTGTGTGAGATGACAAGCAGGTACCCAAGACATTCATATAAAAATATAATAAAAATAAAATGTTTTGGCCTCTTGCAGATTAAAACAGCCAGTTCACCCCTCTGATGCTTACTACCTATATGACCTTAGGCAAGTCACTTAATAGGAGCTAGCATTTATATAGCCCTTTAAGGATTGAAAAGAGCTTTACATATGTTACCTAATTTGGTCTTCACAACAACCCTATCTATGAGGCAGGAGCTATTATCTTCTACATTATGACAGGTTTATTTGGCAACAGTAACCTACCACACGAACTTGAAGGGAGATATTTTTCTTTTTCCTATAACAAAATATACATATACATACAAACATATTATATGCATATATATATGTTCTTAACATATATACATATCTGTTCAGCTATTTGTTTGCATATTTGCTATTTTTTTGCATATAGCTTTTTTTTTACAGTTGAGGAAACTGAGGCAGATAAAGTGAAATGACTTGCCCGTGGTCGGACAGCTAGTAAATGTCTGAGGCTGGATTTGAACTCTGTCTTCCTGACTCCAATCCTGGTTCTCTATACACTGAGGCACCATCAGTTGCCTAGCATTTGAAAATTTTTAAGAATCCCCAAATCTCAGAGCTGGAAGGGCCATCAAAAGTCCTTTCACCTGAGCCATGCAACCCTCTTTGCATCATCCCAGATAAGTGACCCTAAAGCCTTTATTCAAAAACTTCAAGGGAGTTGGGTCCTTGTACCTCTTCAGGACTCCCGTTCCCCTTTCTGATAGCTTACTATTTTGAAGTTCGTTTGTTTTTTTTTTTTTTCCCTGCCATCAAACCCAAACATTTGCTCACTGTTGTGCCTACCCATTATTTCCTCTGGGCCAAGCAGGATAAATCTGAATCCTCCTTCCACTTGACTGGGAAGGGAAAGGAATAAACATTTATATAGAGCCTACTATGTTCCAGCTGCTGGGCTAAGCACTTTTTACAAATATTATCTCAATTGACTGTTCTTCATATGCTTAAAGACAACTATCATGTCCCTCTACCAATTCCCCCCACTCCCTTGGGCAAGTCACATAACCTTTATGAGCCTCAGTTTCCTCATGTGTAAAATAACTTAATGGACTTGATAACTTCTAAGATCCCTTCCAACTTTATGTTCATTTCTCCAGTGGGGGACATGTTTTCTCTTCTCCATCCTAAATATCCCCAGTTGGGGCAAATAAATAAATAAACAAACAAATATGCAAACAAATAAATAGCTGAACAGATATGTATATATGTTAAGAGCATATATATATGCATATAATATGTTTGTATGTATATGTATATTTTGTTATAGGAAAAAGAAAAATATCTCCCTTCAGGTTCATGTGGTAGGTTACTGTTGCCAAATAAACCTGTCACAACGTACAAGTTAGGTGAAAAACCTAGGTTTATATGCTTAAGCACAGGTTCAAGGGGTAGAAAAATAACCCTAAACCAAGATTAGGATTCTAACAAGGCTTTTTATAGACAAAAATTACCTCAGAGGAAGAAATTTTTTTTTATGTATAGCAATTCAATCTTCTTAGACCATAAAATTGAACAGATTTAGTTAAATGGTATCTCATCCATCTCCTAAGGAAACAAATCTAATTAAAGATATTCTATGGGTAAACTAAATCAGGTTACAGATTAAACTGACTACATTGAGAGAGTTCACAATGGACTGATTGAGAGGAGGAGATTTATATGTCACAAAGATAACCAAAGGTGGCCAGGAGAATCCTTCCACAGATAGTTACATAAATCACTTTAGGAAGCTCCAACTCCCTTTTGGTTTCTTATCTCAAGAATGTCAAAAAGTCCTCCTTTAATACTATCATTCTATGAGTCAGAATTTTAGCTAGGTGAGGTTAATATGAACAGGAGACAGGTTTCAGTTAGCCAAAGGTTCCAGGAGGAATGACATAATAAAATAAAATACAAAAATTCTCATAACAGTATCTTATGTGCAGTGGTTACACATTTGTTGAATCCCTCTTCTATGGGATAGCTTTTTAAGTACTTGAGACAGTGGTTTCTCCCTTCTCCCTTTCTCTTCTTTTGCCTAAATATCTCTACTTCCTGCACAGATCTTCATGGACTTTCACCATTTGCATGTTCCAAAATGAAGGCATTGGATGAAGAGGGAGTGAGAAAGGGGCAGTACTATATAATTAATGATACACAGATGGGCATAAGAAGCCCTTCTCCGTGTGACGTGGTGGGGAAGGGCCTACTATGTGCCGGGCATTGTACTAAGCACTTAACAAATATTATCTCATTTGATCCTCACAACAATCCCAGGAGGTGGGGGTGGGTACTGTTACTATTCCCATTTTACAGATGAGGAAACTGAGGCAAACACAGATTAAGTGACTCACCCAAGGTCATACAACTAGTAAGTATCTGAAGCCAGATTTTTAAATCAGTCTTCCTGATTCCAGGCCCAGTGTTCTATCCACTGCGTTACCTAGCTACAGGGTGAGAGAGTAGGGTTCCTTTATCAGAAGCTTTTTCTACTTGTGTCTTTTCTCATAGGGTGGCTCTCATTTGAGGGCATGCTGCTTTTCTACACGGACTTTATGGGTGAGGTGGTCTTCCAAGGGAACCCCAAAGCCCCTCACACTTCAGAAGACTATCAGAAATATAATGCTGGAGTCACCATGGGATGCTGGGGGATGTGCATCTATGCATTCAGCGCAGCATTCTATTCAGGTATTCAGTGCAACCACGAGACCCAAACAATGTTTGTTGTTGCCTGCTATGGACCAGGTACTGTGCTGGGTGCTGGGGAGACCCAAGACAAGAGTAAAGCAGACCCTGCCCCCAAGGGGCTTGCATTCTCCCAGGGAAAACACAGACACAGATGAGTCAACATACAAATATGCAAAAGTGATTTGGAGGGTGGGATGAAACCCTAATAACTGGGGGTGGGGGAGGGGTTCAGGAAAACTCTCTTATGGGAGGCAGCTTTTAGCTTGAGCCTGGAAGAGAGCTAGTGAGCCCCAAGAGGTAGAGTTGAGGAGGGAGAGTATCCCAGGCATGGGAGCCAGCCCCTGCAAAAGCAAGGAGATGAGAGATGGAAAGTCAATTGAAAGGTGTTGAGAGTAGCAGTTTGATTGAAATGGAGGACAAGTGGTCAGACTAGAAACATGGTTTAGAACTGTATTCCAAAAGGCTTGAAATGCCAAACAGAGGCAATAAGGATGGCATATCAATAGATAGATTGATAGGTAGATAGTTATATAGATAATCTATTCAAAAGGAAGTAATAATGATAACTAACATTTATAGAGAGGAAAGTACTTTACAAATATTATCTCATTTGATCCTCATAACCTGGGAATTAGGTGCTACTGTTAACCTTTCTTTACAGATGAGGCCGGCAGGTTAAGTGACTTGCCCAAGATCATACAGCTAGGAGGTGTTTGGGGCTAGATTTGAATTTGGGTCTTTCTCCCTCCAGGACTGGCACTCTACTCTATCCACTACCCCACCTAGCTGCCTCCAAAAAGGTTAGGCTCCAGATATTTTTGAAATTTTGTGTAACATTTAGCTGGGCACTGAGACACTTTAACAGTAGGTCTATTTGTGCCGTTTATTAAACGTTCCAGACCATTTGGAGAAGACACAGCTTCTTTTGACAGTTTTCTTTTGTACTGATTTCACTTTAACTTTAAAATGATAGATTTAACACCTTTTCTAAACAGTCTCCTCTTGAAAAAAGACTATCAACATTTTTTGTTGTTTTAAACTTTGCCTGCTGCTATCAGTGGGAAATCTAGACTAAAACTATATAAATGAGTTGTCAGTACTAAATTTTCAAAATTATGTTCTATATTACTATAGCTATGAATTAGTATTATTGGGGGCAAATATTTTTCATTTAGTGAAAAGTTTGATAGAAGACCATTCTATGTTAAATGATTTGTTTGAACACACATGCAGTTCTCTATTTTTAGTTTTGTTGAGACACTTCTGAATTATTTCAGATTAAACAACCGTGAAAGTAGGTACATTACAAATGAAATTTAATAGGATACATTTTAAAATGCATTGTAATAAAGTATGTTGTTATTCTCAAAATACATTCCAATAAAGTAAATGTATTTTTGAAATCCTGTAATAAATAAATAAATAAATCTTAATCCTTTGACCTACAAAAAAAAAATTCCCTTGTTAGGTAGCACAATCAAACACTGATCCCATAGATAGATGGAGGTGGAAGTTTTCTTCAAAGTGTCTTTGCAGGTAGAGAAAAGTAATAAATATATTTTAAAAAACCTAATAAAATAAAATCTTATAAAATCTAATGTTTGCATTCTGCATGCAAAACTGCTGCTGAGGATTCTCATCAAGACAAGATGAAAAATGAACTTGACATGAAGTTGATAAGGGATGTTCCCATATTATAAAACTGGTGACCCCATTACTACTTGCAATAGACAGGGTACCCTAATTTTTACAAATGGAGAAGGCATAGGACTCTTGGAAGGCAGTGACAAGGTTTACGGTAAAGATATAAATGGTCCTTTTTACACTTAGACCCCAAAGGCCATTCAACCACTGATGACCCTCAGGGCTGACACCTCTGCAGTGCCAGCATCGAGGGGAAAGCCGGCCTTGGTCTCAGTCTGTTTCTTTCTGTGACTCCCAGTACAAAAACTTTGAGCAGTTGAGGTTTCAATAGGAAGTGGGGCTGTGGCAGTCGGCTCTTATTTGAAGTAAGCTTTTCAAAAAACTGCTACCCCACTGAATGAAGTGAATCATCTAATGCTTTCAATTTAATTCAATCTAACCAGCATTTATTAAGAACTACTTACTACATATGGTCCAGGCATTATGTCAGGCGCTAGGGAGACAAAAGAAAAAACTGAAACTCTTCCTGCCCTCAAGGATCTTACCTTCTACTGGGGGATGGGGAATTTATAAATTCCCATAATATACAAGGTCATTTCAAGGGGGTGTGGGGTGGACATTAAAGGCCTTGTGTAGGAAGTACCAGCTAAGCTATGCTTTGAAGGAAACTGAGGATTAACGAGAGTCAGAGATGAGAAGGGAATGTGTTCCAGGCACCTGTGAGATGTCAAGTACCAGGAATAAGAGGCAGTTTAGTTTGACTGCTACAGTCAAAGTGAAAGGGAATGATATGCAATAGTCTAGGAAAGGTAAGTGGGAACTGGGCTGAGGAGATCATGGGATGTTTTATGATTTCTGTGGTGGTTCACTATCTTTCTCTGTTTTGTAGCAATGCTAGAAAAGCTAGAAGAATACTTCAGCATTCGCACCCTGTATTTCATTGCCTATCTTGCCTTTGGATTGGGGACAGGTCTTGCCACACTCTCCAGGAATATCTATGTGGTTTTATCACTATGCATAACATATGGGATATTATTTTCTACCCTCTGCACCCTCCCCTATTCTCTGTTGTGTGATTACTACCAGAGTAAAAAGGTAAGTGGCACCCCACCCCACTCCCCTTCATATTCATGAACAATCTTAAAATGAAAACTTGTTTTACTTACGCCAATTTCAATTTCGCCAACTTTTTGGGATCGATCAATACACCAATTGATACATCTGAGTCTCGCCTGAGGCACACTGCACAGAGGGCTGCCTGGGGCTCACAGGGACCTAACCGACCTTAGTGTACAGAAAGCCTCAGAAGCAGGATTTGAATCCAAGTTTTCCTTCCTGATTCCAAGTAGAGCACTCTATCCACTACACCAAATGAAACAACATACGTAAAGTGCTTTGTGTACCTTAAAGCACTACATAAACAGTTGCTATTACTACTCTTACACCACATAGTCTTTCTAGGAGAGATACCACTGAAGTGGTTTCTCCTTTCCCTTTCCCTCTCTGGCCACTCTTTCTAGTTCTTTTGCCAGGCTCACTCTGGTGGCTGCCATGTTTGTGTAGAAGATTGAGTTGAGTGGGGTTGGAAGAAAAGGAAATCCTTTCCTTTCTGCTTCCCTCCCTCCCTCCCTTCCTTCCTTCCTCCCTCCCTCCCTCCCTCCCTTCCTTCCTTCCTCCCTCCCTTCCTTCCTTCCTATTTCTCCTCTAGGTTGTTACCTATCCATAATTACTTATATGTGGGAGCCTGAAACATCCTTTTCTGTGGAGCAATTTAGTGTTGCCAACCGTATCAACCTGGACTGGGGCTCAGATTCCCTTGCTTACCAAGTTCTGGCTTGGCAGTGAGCAGATGAGTCACCTATATAATACTGGGAAGCAGGGGTCAGCACCAAGTGGGCAGGTTTTATTCCAATACGCCATGTTACTTATGTTAAATAGAGGTTCTTCCAAGTGCTCAAGTATGGCAGTTATCTGTACAAAGGGGAAAGAAACAAAGAGATGCCTACCTGGGCATACCTGAATGTATTGTGCATGCCACCTGGTGGCAGAGGAGGATGCTCTGTTGCTCAAGCTTCAGCACATTGAAGAAAGGTGTCCCCCTTTTTGCTATGAGATTCACTCTTGGCAATCCCGGGCAAAGAGTGGGCAAGTTAATGTTGACTCTAGAAACAAGCCCAATTGTGTCAACTCAGCTGAAGCGGTGACTTTCTTTGTTGACCAGGCTGTCTGTAATGGCTGCTAGAATGTATAAGTGAACCCATTCTAATCACCCTGCTCTTTTGGCTTGATTTCTTCAGTGAGGCCACAATCCCATGTTGGCAACATCCAAGCACTTTCTTCCCGAGAGAGCCGGGTCATGCGAGGGGCGCTGACCTCCTCCTGAGCATTGCCCCTAGCCCAGGTGACACTGCAGCCCCCCCCTCCTGTTAAAGGAACACGGCTGTCTTCAAGAGACTCCGGCATACAGAGTAGTTGTGACTCTCTCCCTTGTAGTTTTAATTAATGTGAGTACCCAGAAGTCCTGATCACCTTAACCATTGGAATTGGATGTACCCAACCCTTAGCAGACAAAAATGCTGTTTCTTATGGGCTGTGTGGCTTGTGGGCTTCCAGGAGAGGCCATCAGCTCCCTCTTTTAGAGGTCAGAACAGAATCAACCACGAGCTTAGATTCTTCTATTAATAACATTGGGTTTCCAAGGGACACGTCAGAAAGTCTTCCAGCCATCTTCCCAAGGGAAGGGGTAGCTGTTTGCCTCTTCTAGAATGTGATTGTATTGACCTTGGTCATAGGACACAGCTCTGATAGAAGGCCCTTGGACAGTTTGATTTCTAGATTCCATAGTGACCCCAGTAGCAGCAGAGGCTTCTGGTTCTGGCTGCCTCACCCTCTGGGACCCATTCCTGGCTTAAGACGTTATTATTATCCTGCCCCTCTGAGGCAGAAATTCAATGCTGCTCTGACATGTATGCTTAATCATGCATGTGTTATATTAAAATGATGTAGAGAAAACTGGCTATTGAATGAAATAATATAGGCAAAACCTTTTGTAAACCTGTAAACCATTTGTAAATACATGTCAGTTATTAGGAAAGGTTTCTTCTCCATACAAATAGCTCGGCTAGGACAGCTCCTGGCTTCTGGGCACAATGTTGGCACCTAATTAAGGGTAACTGACTTCTTTCAGAGGTGATTTCGGCAACACTCATCATATGACCACAAGGCTGCTGGCGCTTGTCATTAGAGAAGATGGACTAGAAAGGGATGTTCAGGCAGTCTCTAACTTACCAATAGGATGTGTTCACAAAGTTCATCTGAAACTTGCATTTTCCCAAGGAAACAAATTGATAAATGGTGATTGATACCCTCAGCCATCCCAGGAGTTCATGACTTTTTGGTGTGTCCTAGACCCCTTTAGCAGACTGGTGAAACCTATGGACCCCTAAAGTGTCTAAACTCTAGCAGTGATAGCACCATTCTGTGGGTGCTAGGTCCTGGGGCAGAGGATCAATTGGTTTAGAAAAGAGGATGTGTGACTTTTTTCTAGTTAGAGGTTCTTAAAGACCTGTAGGAGTGAGGGAAGCCTGTGAACTTGTTTTTTTTAAAAAAAAAACAAAAACATTTTGATAACTTTATTTCAATATAATTGGGTTTTCTGTTTAATCCTATGTATTTCACTTGATGCATCTGAAAATATTATTCTGAGAAGGGGTCCCTAGACTAACTGCCTACCGGAGCCCAGGATACATGAAAAGTTTAAGAATTTCTGTTCTTAAGAATTTCAGTTTTAGAAACAGAATCAGTGGTGAAGATGATTGAGCTTCTCTGTGACATCCTCTTGGCTCCTGGTGCCCCATTCTCCAGGTCTCCCAGGCCAGTCTCTCACTGTCCTCACTACCTTACTCTTTCCCTGTCCTCTGTAATCACACACACACACACACACACCCCCTTGGCTTACCAAAATACTATAAAAACATTATCTACCTCTTCTCTCTATTGGAAGGCTCAGTTCCTCCATGCAATAAATGCTTGGTAGGCATTAGGGAGAAAGCAAGCTGATTGAATTCACTCTACACATGCATGAATGACTTTAACCCTTTAAAAAAAGAGGGTGCTTAACTTAGTCTATGCTAATTCTCATTAAGGACAATTTCTCTCACAGATATCCTTTCAAAAATACAGTTTCCATTCTTTTTTTTAAAGTGAAGGGAAAACAAGATACCCAAACTCTTTTATTTTTTTGAGTTAGTTATTTCGTGAATGCCGCCATGTCCTAGACTCAGAGTCTCATGGTTTGGAAGGAGACAAGTAACTCACGCTTCTCTGAACTTCATCTGGTTTATGGCCCGGATTCTTTGGGGAGTTGTCATCAGTCTGAAGACAAATACAGAACTCTTGGGCTATTTTCCTGCTTGAGGCTGGCAGTAGAAAATCTGAGGATGTCCTGTGGGGGCTTCCTGGTGGCCTTAACATTTGTGTAGATAAATTAGATACTCTTCTGTTGCTGTTTCAGAAAAGGTTTTATAGTTTAAGAGTAAGATGGACTATGCATCCTCTTTTTTTTTTTAACTCACATTTTTCTTCCTTTTTGAATCAGTTTTCAGGGTCAACTGTGGATGGCACCAAACGAGGAATGGGGGTGGACATCTCCCTCCTGAGTTGTCAGTACTTTTTAGCTCAGATTCTCGTCTCCATCATCATGGGACCATTGACCTCAGTGGTGGGCAGCGCCAATGGGGTAATGTACTTCTCCAGCCTCGTGTCTTTTGTTGGCTGCTTGTACTCTTCCCTTTTTGTCATTTATGAAATTCCTCCCAGTGAGGAGTTGGAAGAGGAACACCAGCCACTCCTGCTGAACATCTAGCACCCCGAGGACCTCTGTTTTGGGACTAACTTGTAACACGGGTATTTTGGAAAAGGGCTAGTTAAGAGCTGACCAATGGAATGACTGGATTGTCTTGATCAGCCTCCTCAACCAGTGTACAAGTGGAAAGATTTCCTACTGCAATGTAAATATGTGACAAGACAATAAATAATAGCAAAGAAAAAAAAAAAACACCAAAAAACTAAGCCTGCTGTTTGTAATGGTGAGGGGTCATCCCAGCAGGGTGAGTAGGGGAACTAATAATAATGCCTCAGTTGATCCCAAGGTGGAAGAAGCATCCACTGCATGGAAGAATGCTGACTGTGTGTTTCTCCTGTGACTTACTAACACAAGAGATGTCATGGATCCCAGCATTCACTATTCAATATAAAGCTAATTCCTGTAAGATATTCTGGGAGGCATGGGGTCCACTTTCATTTTAGTAACAAAGGGGATCTCAATTAATTTCCCTTGAGATATATTATTTCCTGGTCAGAAAGCCTTGTTTTACCCCTAAGATTCTTACATAAATGTACAGGAGAACTGGGTCACTTAACGAGAAGAAGTCAGAGATCACAAAACCCAGCTCCTCCATTTTATAAAAAAGGAGAGAGTCAATGACAGGGAGGGAACTTGACTAAGGCTAGAGGTACAACCGGACCCTTGAGTCCAGTGTGTTCACTTCATAACATTGCCTTTGCTTTGTAATCTGTCGTTTTTGTGAACCACCAAAGGAATCCACAATTAGAGGTAAGGACGGAGAAATCATGTATCAAAACTTGCATTTCCTAGTCAAGCAACACAATGCCAATCTCAGGACCTCCCAAGCAGGTAGAGAGGGTCAGAGGAGTCTGGGGAGAGCAGCAGAAGGTTATTTTGGTGTTGCAGCTGCATTTTAGCTCAGAAGCAGCAGTTCAGCATATCTCGGTAAAGAAAATCACCCAATCTTAGAGGTGAGAATAGGTGTTGTTGGTTTAATAGGAAAGGGTATCCTCTTCGAGGTTATGATCAAACCATCCAGAAGGTATTATTAAAGTTGGCATTAAGAGGTAAGGGGTTTCTTCTTGGCATCCACATATTTTTAAATATCTTTAAGCTTTTCAGCCAAGTTTGGAATTTCATAATTCTGACATCCCAACTACATTGCCAAGGACAAATCTAAGCAAAAGCTGAACCACCGTGATGGTGGTGACAACAAGGGCTGAAGCAATATTGGGGCTAACAAATTCTATCCCTTCAAAGTATCCTTCAAATATCAGTCATCATGGATCTGGTTATGTGATAGATTAAATCACATGCCCTGTCTTGGACTAATAATGCAGGAGAGTATCTCTCCCCAGAGCACAGGGTCTTGTCTTCCTATGCCTAATCAACTGATAAGAAAATAGCCCAGGTAGGTCCTTGTTGACTGATAGTTAACAAATAGAATCTAAGAATCTCCCTTTGGAGAATTTTTAATAAATGGAAACAGCTGATTCATCTATTCAGGGTGGAATTGGCCAAAGGTTATTAGGCTGATTTGGGGAAACTTCTCAAGGTAATTTGTGGGCCCCTGTCTAGTTGCTACTCTGATTACATTAGGGTTATATTATCTCTCAACTAGCCTCCAGCCAATTTTTTTCCAAATATGCATAGTTCCATGTAAGAGATGTTAGGTTTGAAGTTAGAGGACCTGGGTTCAAATCCTGGGCAAGTCTTTGGGCCTCAGTTTTGTAATCTGTAAAATGAAGAGTTTAGATTAGATGGCTTTTGAGATCTCCCTCTAACCCTAAGTACACAGTTCTCACTGCCACCCAACCCTTAGTTTTCTAACTTTGACTCTACATGGTGGGTATCACAATAACATTCATTGAATAAATGAATGTGAGGCAGCCTGTTACAGTGGATAGGGAAGAGCGCCATCTTGGTTCATGTCCTATCTCTGACATTTCCTGGCTGTGAGACCCCCAGCAAGTCATTTCTCGATGTCCCAAGCAAGTCTCTAAATTGCAAAATTAGTGTCAATTAGCACTGGCATCAGGAGTTTCCTTGTTAGGAGCTCCCTTTACCAATGAAATAACCGGTCTAAGGAAAAAAAATCAATATAATAATGATGTTATGAGCCTATAATGTAACCCCACCCATGATGTGGTGAAAGACAAAAGCTTGTTCCTCTTCTAGTGCTGCCACCCGGTGGCATGAGAAGTACCAGCCACTTGCAAGTGTTGAATCTATTTTGGGGTTTCTTGTGATTGTACGGTTTGTCCTTTGTTCTCTCACATACATGCTGAATAAAGGTGGAGAAAATCATGCAGTCACTCTGCTTGGATCCACTACAAATTGATGTCACACAACTTCAATTGGACCCTCACTGCTACTAGGGAATCCTACCATACCTCCCTTATCAACTTGCCAGCCCATTCTCCACAGCGACTCTTCCAAAGCTTTTTACCTGTCCTCAAGTCTCCCATGGCTTCTCTCCCCACCACCCCTACTCCTGGCTGACAACCATGCTTCATATTTTCCAGAAAAAAATTAAGGCCGTGAAGTCCCTTTTTTCTCTTCTTCCTCATCCTGTATCACTCAGATGCCACTATCTACTGCACCTGTTTCACATGAAGAGGTAACCTGACCTTACCCCTTACCAAGGCTAACCCCTCTCTACCTGCACAAATAATACCATTCCATCACATCTCCTCTAACAGACTGCCTCCTCTGTCATCCCCATTCTCTCACATCTTCAATTGCTGTCAACTGGCTCCTTCCTTCCTGCCTACAAACATACTCACGTCTTCTTCCCTATCCTGAAAAAACCTTAACTTGATCCTTCCATACCTGTTAATTATCATCCTATTTTTCTTCTGCCCTTTGCAGCTACACTCCTCAAAAAGGTTGTCTACAACAGCTGCCTCCACTTTCTCTTCCTCTTCTTAACCCCTTACAATCCAGCTTCCAACCTTATCATTCTACTGAAATTATTCTCTCTAAAGATACTGATCTCTTAGGTGCCAAATCCAACAGCCTTTTGTCAATCCTCATTCTCAGGAATCTGACCTTTCTGCAGCCTTTGACAACACTTATCTCTCTCCTCCTTGATACCTCTCTTTCTAGGCTTTCAGGACACTGCTCTGTCCTATTTGCTTCTACTCTGTATCTTGCTGGATACTCTTCCACAGCATACCCACTAAACATGGCTCTGCCTGGGGCTCTCTTATGTTCTTCCACTATCCTACTTTTACTTGGTGATCTCAATAGCTCCCATGGATTTAATTACCAGCTCTATGCTTCTCAAGTCAGCCTATCCTACACCAACTTCTCTGCTGACCTTCAATCTCACATCTCCAAATGGAGGACCAGTAGACATCTTAAACTCAACATGTTCAAAACTGGACTCAATCTTTCTCCTCAAGCCCTCCCCCCAGTCCTAATTTCGTTATTACCACAGAGGGCAACCACCAAGCTCCCAATCCCTCAGGATCACAATGTAGGTGTCATCCTTGACTCCTCCTATCTCTTGTTCTCCCTCCCCCCCATAATCTGGTGTCAAGGCCTACTGATTCCATTTTTGTAACACCTCCTGAATGCAGACCCTTCTCTCCTCTGACCCTGCCACCACTCTGGAACAGGCCCTCACCACCTCACATCTGGACCAGCTGCTGGGGGGAGGGGGCGGAGGTCTGCGAGGTCTGCCTGCCTCAAGTCTCTCCCCACTCCAATCCATCTTCCATTCAAGCAAAAAAGTGATTTTCCTAAAGTGCAGGTCTGATCAGGTCACCATTCCTCCTGCTAAATAAACTGCTGTGGCTCCATATTACCTCCAGGATTGAATACAAAATCCTCTGTTTGGAGTTCAAAGCCCTACATAACCTAGTCCCCTCCGTTCCACTCTTTTTTTCCATTTAGCCCCCTACCTTCACCCTTTACTCTTCTATCTGATGACAATGGGCTTCCTAGCTATTCCACACACAAAATACTACTTATCTGCCATCCTCCATATCTAGAACTCCCTCTTTCCTCATCTTAACCTTCTGGATTCCCTACTTCCTTCAAGTCTCAACTAAGATCTCATTTTCTACAGGAAGTCTTCTCCAAACCCCCTTAATTCTAGTACTTGACAAACGGATATGGTCTGTTATTGTCTGAATACATCAGTGTTCAAGCAGCATGTTGGCAGAAAGACAGTAACAGTAACCTGAGTGGGCTTAAGTGCTGGTATTTGTGAGAAAAGTGCCAAGACCTGGGATGTGAAATTCCTTCTTTAGTGACAGTATATGATAAGAGGCTTTCTCAAAAGCCCTGGCACTCAAGGGGAATTCACATCAACATATACATCAGCCTAGAGTACTGGGTCCAAATCCCAGCTGCAACACTAGCCTGGTGATCTAGGGCAGCTCACAATCTCTGTGTCTCAAGCCACTCCTAAAAGGCATCTAGTTCAACCTCAACATTTTACAGATGGGTAGACGGAGGCCTAGAGAGACTAAGTGATTTGCTCTAGACTTCACAGATGGCATTTGGCAGAGCTAAGGTCTGCTACACCATGTGTTCTACTCAATCTACCAAGTAAAAGATGTATTGCTGGCACAAGTTCCCAATGCTCCTTTTGGGTATATCCACACTCAAGAGGTCCTTTGGACTATGGCACCCCTAAGCCTGAGGAACTTGGCTTTTCTGCATAAAAAAGGTGGGGAAGGAACACGGATTGTATTTAGTGCAAAGCAAGTTTGTGCAGAAAGAAATCCTTTAATCCTGAAACAGTAATTTGGGGGACTAGAAGTCATAAAAAAAAAACACACACAGAAATGAAGTTAGGAAAAAAAAGGCACCTTTTCAACATACAAATTACAAGCAGTAGACAGAGGTAGGTTGTACTATATTGCTTTTGTATACAAACACTGTAAAAACAGAACAGTTTGTTGAAAGGACTTATAACTGGCTAGTGCAAGGTGTCTTTTATGCCAAGTTGGTTACTTTAGCTCTTGGTTAGAACACAGAAACAGTTTTGTCTCATCAAATGATGGTATTTGATGCAAAAAAAAAAAAAGGTATTCTGTGGTGATTAACAAGTTCCACCTGGTTTGGAACTCAGTGTGCCCACTGAGGACTGAAGGGGACATTTGGCTTGGGAGGAGACTTGAGGTGCTAGGTGCAGGGATGGTAGATGCCTTGGCAAGAGGAATTAGTCTGGTTCTGTTGGGTGAGAGGAGGAGGGCAGAATTAGGCTCAATATAAAGAAAACCATCCTAACAATTACTCCTATGCAAAATTACCATGGACTATCTCAGGAGTTAGTGACTTTTCCCTCACTTGATATCTTTAAACAATGGCTAAGCTGGGCAGGGTGGTACACACCTGTCATCTGAGCTACCAGGGAGGCTGAGGCTGACATACCTTTTGATCTGGGGAATTCTAAGAAGTTGTGGGCTGAGCCAACTGGCTGCCTACATGGCATCAATATGGTGAGTCCCTGCAAGTGGGGACCACCTGGTTGCCTAAAGAGGGATGAAACAGCCCAGCTTGGAAAGTGAGCAGACATAAACACGCTTGCCCATCAGCAGTGTGATGGACCCGTCAGCAGCCTCAGTAAGACAGAGAGAACCAGTTTTTAAAACAACAACAACGAATGGCTGTAGGAAGGCAAGGCAGTTGTTGGATTCTCTAGGGCAGGTGTGTGCCGCTGCTGCCCTCCCATGGCTGTTTTCATATATTTAATGGATGACCGATCATTTCTACTTGGGAAGATCTCTTTCTTAGCTATGGGCCAACACCAAAGCTAAGTGGGAGCTAGGGGGTGGTCTGAAAGGGAGGCAGAGGAGAAGTGGGAAGAGGGAGAGTGAGGAGGGGAAGAGAAGAAACAGAGTGGGTGGGGGGTTACAGACTGGAACCAGGAACTGCTTCTAACCCTACACTACAGCAGCTGTTTTCTTCTCATCTATTTTATTTGAGAAAAAAAAGGGAGACTGAGGTTTTTCTTTTCCAGGAAGGCAGGAGTCACAATACATCTACATGCTAGGACAGCTCTGCTCTTCACTTTGTATGCCCCCCAATATAAATCTCTCCCTAGCTTGGGGGCCCCGGGAAAAACTCCCCTCGTCAGGGGCTCTGCACCTTTTTCTGGGTCATGTACCTCTTTGGCAGTGTGGGGAGTTCTATGGACTCCTCAGAACAATGTTTTTAAGTGCGTGAAATAAAATACAGAGTGTTGCAAGCAAAACAATTATATTGAAAGTGATTCAAAGATTTTCAAGTTCATAAACCACTCTAGAAGTAAGCACAAGCATCTATAATCAAATGCATATAAATGCAGTAACCATGCTAATGTGTTAGAGACACACGGAGAGCTGACCCTCCTTTTGCTGGAAGTACCAGGGACTATAAAAAGAATATGGTCCCAACCCAAAAGCTCTCACTTCTCCTGGAGCCCTGGCTCCTGTGGTGCCTGCTGTTCCTTCCCTCACCTCTTAAAGGAGATGGCCCCTTTCCCACGCCTAGCAGATGGAGGAAGAGGCAGGTCAAAAGCAAGGAGCAGGGCAATGAAAACCAGGCTCTGGCTCTGAAGGAAGCGTCTTGGTCTATCATCTCACAGCCTCCCAACCTTGACAACCCCAAGAAAAGAGACACATTCCACTGGCCAAGGCCTGGATTCTGTAGTGTAGCTTGGTTTTATTTGTCCACAAATATTTCAAAAAAATTACAAAATACTCAAATGGAGAGAACACAGAAGTCACGATTTCTGGGTTTCTACTCTGTTTACACTGTGTTATCTCATGGCAAACTACTCATATGTACATTAAGCTTCCAGATATATATAAATGTAGCAAATCAGAGTGGACACTGCATGTGAGGCCGCAAAACAAGATGCTCGACCTTGACAACATTGAACAAGATACGTTTGAAACATAAAACAAAAAACAAACCTGAAACTTCAACTGAAAAGAGGGTGAATGAATCCCAAAGGAAACCATGTGTCTGGGTCACTGGAAAAGGGCATCCAACACACCAAGATGGCTCTTGGGGCCATTGTCAAGAAACTGTAGTCAATCAGCTAATTTATTAGAATAAATCTCAGTGTTTCACCTTGGGATGCTGGTGGCACGGAGACTAACACACAATTAATAAAATCTGAACTGAAAAGGAAACTCATGACATCTTAAAAAAAAAGATTAAACATCACTGAACTCTCTTTTCTTTGGGAGAATGGGAAATAACAGGATAAGGAGGGAGAAAGCAGAATTAATTTAACAGTCACCAT